TGTGTTTAATGTGAGATACATAGGTGATTAGTCCATATGTACACTTATGTGAGCAACTCATGCCATGATGGTGAAGATGGCTTGAATTTGTTGCAAGGCTCACACATGTGATGAAGTAGCTCATTGCATATGAGACATGACATTGAGTCATATGACTAAGGTGGAGAAGATCAAGACTTGACTCGACGGACTGGTTGCAAGTGTGAAGGGCAAGTTGAGTGATGACTTGGCGTCGATGGAACAAGGCAACGGTGAAGAGCAAGTGAAGTCAAGATCGATGAACCAATACGGTCATGTGATGATATAAAGTTGATCATATCATTTGGTGTTTGGTTGGTGCATGTGTTGCATCGACATCGAAGGAGATGGAATGAAATGCGCAAGGCAAAGGTATAACCTAGGGCATTTCATTTCACCGGTCATAGGCATGTAGAGAAGTTGATGACCGGGTTTAGGATAGATGGTTGTACTATTAAGAGGGGCAAACTTGTTTGCATATCGGTCATCTAGTGCCACTTGAGTGATCTAACTTTGCTACGTGTTAGGATCGAGTGGCATGGTGAAAAGAGTGATAATCTTTTGGAAAAAATGTTTGTGAAAAGCTAACATAGATGCACAAGTTGGTGAACACTTGATGGTGTTAGCACATTTGCAAAGATGAAGAAGTTGATAAAGAAGAGGAGGCGAAACCGGGCTCAGGGTGCTACCTGGGTGGGACCGCCACCCCCTGTGGCGGTGATAGGCTAGGAGGCTGAGAGCAGTGTGTTGCCCTAAGGGCACCGCCACTGGTTGTTCGGTGCCACTGCCACCCCTAGGGCAGTGCCCACCTGGACTTGGCCAAGCGCAGCAGAAGTCAGGGTGGTCACCGAAAGTGACGGTGTACACCGCCTTGGTGTGGGCGATGCACTACCGGGTGCTGTCCGGTGCCACCACCGCTCTTTGGTAGAGAGCAGGAGAAGGCGAAGGGGTCACCACCGCGGGCACCGCCGTGCCTAGGGCGGTGCACCGCCATAATTTTCACGAGGGCAAGGGTTTCGCGGGGTTGGCCTGGGTGGTCACCGCCACCCTGTCCGGTGACCAATGGCTAGTTAAAATAGCCGTTGCAATTCGACCGTTGGGCGGGCACCACCGTGTTTGGTGCCCTCGCAGAAACCAGCAGCTTTGCTCTAATGGCTCTATTTGGCTTGAGGCTATAAATAGAGGTGGAGCTCAGGCTTGGGCTGGTTGCTGAGCACCCTTAAGCCTTGGTGGCTTGTGTAGGTGTGTTTGGATGCCCTCTAACTCACTTATGCTTGGAACATCGCGATCCGATTATGAGTGAGTGTGATTCTAGTGCGTTGCATCATGAGGTTGCATTTAATGGCAATAAGTGATCGAGTTGCAAGCCAGTGGTGCTTGTTACTCTTGGAGGTTGACACCTCCTAGACGGCTTGGTGGTGGTCTCCGTCGAAGCACGTAAAGAAGATTGTGTAGTGCTCCGAAGAAGTGATTGTGAGGGGAATTGTGCTCACCCCACGGGAGCCGCGAAGAGCAACACTAGTAGAGCGTGTCATTAAGCTACCCTCATTTATGGGTAGTTTCTTACGATGCCCGACGTGCGGGCTTGGCGGGTGATGCCAATTAGACGCCAAACCACCAAGTGAGTGGTCGACACAATGGGGACTAGCGTATTGGCAAGCACGTGAACCTCAGGAGAAAAATCGCCGTGTTATCCTTGTCTTCCCGTTGGTTTGCATCCCCGTTACACAAGCTTGTATTTACTTTCATATAAATTTCACTTGTGTAGTGGCTCTTGTAATTAGTTTGCTTTGTGCAGCTTGCTAGTTATCTTTTTACTTGTGTAGCATAGAAGTAGCTCTCTTGCATGGCTAATTTGGTTTTAGTAACCTTGTTAGTTACATTGCTTAGTTTATATAACTAAGTAATTTGCGCTCTCTAATTTGGCATTAGTTGCCTTGTTATTGAGCATTGCTTGTGAGCTTAGGAGCTTTGTGCTTTTGCTTACTAGTTGTGTAGAAGCTCCCCGTGCTTGAAGTATTAGTGGAATATGTTTGTGACCTTGCTCCTTGAATTAGTTAGGTGAGCTCTAGCTAGCTCGGTACCTTAGTTGCTTGTTTAGGATCTTTTCAATGTGCTTGATAACTTGGATAGATGGGTGTAGTCTTAGCTAGACCGATAGTTTTAATTTAGCATTTGTTACGGTTAGTCGACGCGATTATTTTTAGAAATGACTATTCACCCCCTCTCTAGTCCGCCATCTTGACCCTACAACAGGACCTACCATGGCCTTCTCCACTAGAGCGACAAGCTTCGTGCCACCGACGAGCACAAAGGTGAAATTCACGCGCCAACGAGCCTCCATTCGCTGAAGCAGCAATGAGATGTTTGAGTTGAAAACGTATGTTGCAACTATACGTTTCGAGTGTTTCAGGTGTTTCAGAGGTATGTTGCAAGTGTTTCGTATCGGTGTTGTAAAAGTAGATTGGGATGTTGCACATGTTTCAAGTATATGTTCTAAATGTTTCATCTGTATCAGACGTATGTTGCAAGTGTTTTTATCTGGATGTTACAAAAGTAGATCTAGATGTTGCATATACTTGCATGTTTCAAGGGTTTCAAGTGTTTCATACGTCTGTTGCAAGTGTTTCATCTAGATATTGCATATGTTTGCAATGGTTTTCGAGTGCTTTTCAGGCGTTTTTGCAAGTGTTTCAGACACTTGTTCCAAGTGTTTCATCTGTCTTCTTTTACATGTTGCACTGTTCATCTAGATGTTTCAAAAGTAGATCGGGTGTTGTACATGGGATGCGCATTACTGCTGGGCACTCGCTCGCTCGCTGTGCGGGCTTCTTCTCTTGCGCGCTGGTACCGTCCAAACGCTAGCAAGTCCGTTTTTACAATAGGTACCGGGCCATACTGGCCAGGATGGTCCAACAAACATCCCATGTACAGCTCGTCGACTGACGGACCCTGGAGGCCTGGACAACGGACTAGTATACTTCCTCCGTCTCAAAAAAAGAATTGCTATGGGAATTGTGCTGGTCAAACTTTCTCAACTTTGAGTAGGTTTGTAGAAAATGCGTACAACATTTATATCTCCAAATAAATTTATTATGAAAAGTATATTTAACGATCTACCTATTGGTACTAATTATGTACCATAAATATTAATATTTTGTTAAATATATTTAGTTAAAGTTAAAATTTATTTTTTTTAAAAGCGAGAAGGACTTTTTTTTTTTTGCGTGCAAAGGAGTATTGTATTTCAGCGTCGTTCTCTCGCAGACGCTAAATCCTGACTTGCAAACGGATGGTGTGCCTGCATGGGCCTTGTTTAGTTGGCGATTTTTTTGGGAAATGGTAGATCATGAAGACTTTCGTTGTTATTTGGTAATTAGTGTTCAATCATAGTCTAATTAGACTTAAAAGATTAAATCTCGTGAATTTCGTCTAAGCTGTGTAATTAGTTTTATTTTTTATTTATATTTAATGCTTTATGCATGCGCCCAAAGATTCGATGTGATGGAGAATCTTGAAAAAATTTTGCAAAATTTTGGGAACTGAACATGCACCTGGAGAGGCCTCCGGATCCCCTGTAATCTACACACGTATACGAAGCGTACAATAATCGTGAGAAGCTGAGAGCCAAGCAAAGGCAACGTGCTAAACCAACCCATGCACCAAAGCAAGGGACAGCGTTCTGTTCTGTGCCCCGCCTGGGAAGGCAGCTTCGGGTTCTTGGCGTGCTGCACCACCATCGAGCTCGAGCAACATCAAAGCACCCTTTTATCTACTTGCTGATTGCTGTCCTCTTATGACAACAGGGTCAGGAATTCAGGATGTACTCTTGCGACACTTGTAGTTCCTATAAAAATAATCAAACGTGCATCGTAGCTGTTGGGTTTGAGTTTGAATTGATGCTCGTGTACTCGTTTCTGTTCGTAAAGATTGGTTCGCGGACAGGGAGGGATCGGAAAAGCGGCCACGAAGACGACGAACCTGATTCAAAGTGATTAGACGGTTGATGCTAAATGCCAAACTAACAACAGCACACTATAACTATACACAACAATCTATGGGATGGCAGGCAGCTGTGTTCCATTAGGCACCGCAAAGCGCAGCTACTCCGTGCGAGCTTGGAGCCCACGCGCATAGACCATTGGTACACGAAATCACTTTGTTCCTTGGAAAAGCGCAATCCATGCATTACGCGGCAGTACAGTGCTACAGTACAAACTAGGAGTATCATACTCGTACGTACTGTACGAAAGAAAGCCACAGAGCCATTGGTGCGGCCGTGCCCGTGCGTTTGTCCCTATGCCATGACCATGACATGATCAATCCACCCGCCCCGGACGACCTCAACCAAAAAAGTTACCCCGACGCGGAGGCTCTGTTATTAGCCGCAATGATCAGCCATACGTACCGGTACCGGGGCACCGGGCAATGTGGTCCGCGGGCGCGTGCGTAACGGCTCTCTCCCGCCCGTTCCTCCTCTCAACCATCATCGTCCTCTGCCTCTGCGAGCCTTGTCGGAGGTGGGTGGGAGCGCCCACCGCATCCGCAGACCGCACAGCCGTCGCCTCCAGGGTCCAGCGATCCGACCGCCGTCCACGCGCCACGGCCCACGCACGCGGCCACAGCTCAGCGCGCGTCCTCGCACAGCCGCCCGCACTCTCAAGTCAAGCCTCCGGTACACTGGATGCCTTCCTTATTACACTGGGCTGAGCTAGCCCGTGTCCGACGGTGGGGCCTTCCTGCTAACGCCATAGCATAGGCTGCTGGAGTGGTGGGTAGCCCCCCGCGTAGGCATACGATTCCTGCGTCATCTGTCCCGCGGGCTCGCTCCCGTAATCGCCGAGCTCGCGTCCACGTTTTAACGGCTCCACTCCTAACACTGGCTCACACTTGGCCTCGTTCTGCTGCAGTGCAGCTCGTCGCTTTCCCCCAATCTTCTTCTCCAATCCCTTTCTTCTGGGCTCTGACAGGTGACGAATCCCATGGGCGCCGCGGCGAGGAAGCCCGCCGCCGCTCTGCTGCCAATCTGGCTCATCTGCCTCGTCTGCGCATCGAGTGAGTAGCACCAATCTGTCTCTTTCTGTTACCACTACTGGTAGTAGCAATCTCCTTTTCCTTTCTGATCTCGATCGCGAGTCCCGAGAAGTGCACGGAAAGTTGGCGGATTGGGAAGGAAATCCAGGCTTTGCCCCCCGTAAAGTTCTTCTGGAACTGGAATGGATTTTCTATCTTTTCTGTTCTGGGTGGCGGATTGAGGGATTGAGTTGGGGGAGGATTATCCAATGTATATCGGCTGGCAGCTTTAGTTTTCTGTCATTGCGTGCGATTGGATTGGTGATGCCGGAGCGGATTTGTTTGCGCCACATTGCACGCGTGCAGGAGCAGGAGCGCAGCCGTACATCGGCGTCAACTACGGCGAGGTGGCGGACAACCTGCCGTCGCCGGACGAGACGGCGAAGCTGCTCAAATCCACGTCCATCTCCAAGGTGCGTCTCTACGGCGTGGACGCGGGGCTGATCCGCGCGCTGGCGGGGTCCGGCATCTCGGTGGTGGTGGGCGTGGCGAACGGCGACATCCCCTCGCTGGCCGCCGACCCGGCCGCGGCGTCGCGGTGGCTGGCGGCCAACGTGCTGCCCTTCGTCCCGGCGACCACCATCTCGGCCGTGGCCGTGGGCAACGAGGTGCTGGAGTCCGGGGACGCGTCCCTGGCCGCCGCGCTGCTCCCGGCCATGCAGAACCTCCGCGCCGCGGCCGTCGCGGCCGGGGACGGCGCGGCGGGGATCAGGTTCTCCATCGTCAACACCATGGGCGTGATGGCGCAGTCGGACCCGCCGTCCACGGGCGCGTTCCACCCTGACGTGGCGCCGCAGCTGCAGCAGATCCTGGCGTTCCTCAGCCGGACCGGCGCGCCCTTCATGATCAACCCGTACCCGTGGTTCGCGTACCAGTCGGACCCGCGCCCGGAGACGCTGGCCTTCTGCCTGTTCCAGCCCAACGCCGGGCGCGTCGACGGCGGGTCCAGGATCAGGTACACCAATATGTTCGACGCGCAGCTGGACGCCGTGAAGTCGGCGCTGGTGCGCGCCGGGTACGGGAGCGTGGACATCGTGGTGGCCGAGACGGGTTGGCCGACAAAGGGCGACGCCGGGGAGCCCTGGCGCCACGGCGGAGAACGCCAGGGCCTACGTGTCCAACCTGGTGGCGCACCTGCGGTCCGGCGCCGGCACGCCGCTGATGCCCGGGAAGTCGGTGGAGACGTACCTGTTCGCGCTCTACGACGAGGACCTCAAGCCCGGGCCCACGTCGGAGCGCTCGTTCGGGCTGTACCACACGGACCTGACCATGGCGTACGACGCCGGGCTGACTTCCTCCGCGCCGGCAGTGGGAGGAGGGGCGGCGCAGCCCAAGCAGGCCGGCGGGTGGTGCGTGGCGCGGGACGGCGCCTCGGACGCGGAGCTGCAGGCGGACCTGGACTACGCGTGCTCGCAGGTGGGCGTCGACTGCGGCGCCATCCAGCCCGGCGGCGCCTGCTTCGAGCCCAGCACGGTGCGCGCGCACGCCGCGTACGCCATGAACCAGCTGTACCAGGCGGCCGGGCGGCACCCGTGGAACTGCGACTTCCGGGCGTCCGCCACGCTCACCTCCGAAAACCCAAGTACGTGTGCCCGCGTCCTCCAATCTCTCTTGCTCTGCAATTGTTCTTGTTCATGGAATCATGGCCCGCCGAATCAACATGCTTGTTCATAATCGTCACGGAGCGTCAGCCGGCGCTGCTCGTTTGGCAGGCCGCCGACATGGCCTGGTTTGTTGGGCTTTGTCCATGCAGATCTTGCAGCACTGCACGACCATGACAAATGGTGACATGACATGTGCATGATAAAAGGAAAACAGCTTTGCTCATCCCCTGTCCGTCCTCCTCCTTTCTATCATCCACTGTCCATGTGCTGACAGTTCGCACACGCACGGCGCCAAGCGTCTGCACTAGTCCACTCTGCACTGATGAGTGGCCACCCTCCCCTGCGCTGCGGATAGGACGCTTTCTGTCGTGTTCCACTCTTCGCTGCAAAAAAAAAAAAAAAATGCTAGTCTCCATGCGTGATCACAGAGTAAACAATGTGATAGTGCCCAAGTTTGCTTTGCTAGTCTTGTAGTCGCACGTAGTACACTCATGAGTCATGACTCATCTCTCGGGTTATCTAGGCGTCCGTATCTCTGTGCTTGCTTGTTGTTGGACTGCCCACTTTGTTACGAAGGCAGTGTACGTGTACCGTCAGCACTCAGTTTTCTTGACGGAGTCTTTATGTCTGATTCTTTTTCTGCGAGAAAATCTAACTTCGTTTCCCTCTCTACGATCTCTGCAGGCTACGGCGCATGCGTGTACACCGGGGGCGGCCAATAATGCACGGCGCACGGCGGTGCTAACCGCGTGGCACATGATTAATTTTGCGAGTACCATGCATGATGGATTGCCGAGTGAAAAGTTGGGCCTGCAGGCTACAGCAAAGGGCTCTGGACGAACCGAATAAAGCTACGAATAATTGTGGTTGTTGCCGTGGTGTAGTGTAGTGCATGGATGCGAATGCGATCCATGGAATGGAGGCGAAGCGTCCTCTTGTCTCGTAGTATTGGAAGAAGTTTCCTTGGTTGCACACTTCTTTTCAGCTGCCCTGCCTGCCTGCCTTTGGACAGGCTGGGCTGTGATTGTGACTTCGTGTAAAAAAAAAAGAACTGTTAGATTTGCCAGTGTCGCCGTGAGCTTCGTGTACGTGTAGTGTGTGTGTGTGTGTCTAAATGTACGAGTAGAATGAGATTGTATGTATCTATATATATTTTTTAAAAATAATCTTGATGCAGCTTTCAGCATGCGAGGCGCCATAATGCCATATATTATGCATGTGATGATGGTCCGAATGGGAAAGGTTTATGCTGTCAACGTGCTCCGTCAACGTCGAGTCGATCGATGATGGCCGGTGGAATTCGTTCGGTTGGTGGGGTTGGACCCACCTTATCGACCGGGTCATCTTTCTGTCGCGCTCCCTCGGCCCGTCGCCGCTCCACGAACACGAGTACACGACTGCCATTATCTTTCAGTATCGTTTTCACTTTTCAATCGACGGGCTCGACTTTGAACGGACCATTTGGGGAAAAAAGCTTGACTAGCGCACGATACCGGGCCTCCTGTTTCAGCAACCCCGCAAAAGGACCTGGGAGGCAGGTAGCCCCGATCGAGTGAGCCAATTCCGCTGGCTCCCGGTAGCAAAGAAAAAGCTTGGGCAGAAGCAGAACTAGTAGCCAGCACATATGATCCGGTAACGTAGCGAGACATCCAATGGTCCAAAAACATATAGCCAGCTCTAATTCCTAACCCGGCATCGGCATGGCAATGGTCCTGAGATGCTTTGTTCACAAGCATTTGTTTTGAGAATGCCCAAGAAAAAAAGGCAAAAGGGTTTATATAACGAGCGCTATGAACCAAACACAAGTAAAATGAGATAGTCTTGTCCTGTCTCATTTTCTCCCACGGAACCGGAAGGCACATTAAGATGGCGAAGCGTAGAGCGCAGTGGAGGAGAACGAGATAGCGTTAAGATCTGAAAAGTGTTTTGATGATTTTTCACATTCATGCCAAGACATTGGTGTGCACATTCGAAAGCTAGTTTCCTTCATTTTTTTATTACTATCTAACAAAATCACTTTGGAATGGTGGTTTAATTCTATACTACTACTATCTATTTCCATACCTATTCCATTTATATTGGAGTCTTTACTTACTTTTTCCTATATCTTCTCATAAATCTATATCGCTCCAATATGTTTTCTTCCAATGTTATTATCTAAAAAATGTTTTCGTCCAATGAATGTAAATTGTTACTATTTTTATATACAGTTTAGCTTTGAATTTAGCTACTTAATCATTATAGTTTATATGGACTGTTTATGTAGGTACTCTTTCTTAGCATTCGTTTAGAGATCAAGTCGTTAGCTTTTCAAAGTTTTTTATGACTTTTTTCCTTCAGCAATTATGTTTTACATGTAATTTGTGTTTACGTATTTTTCTTTCCAACTCGTATGGAAATTTAATTGTCATTTTTCTTAATTTGTTTATTATTTTGAATTTACTTTCTATTACTTGTATTAAACACGGATTTTTTAAACCTAAGGCATTAAATTATCATAAAAATTAAAATAATCTCGTCGTTGTATCAGGCATCAGCTATTTGATTTAATCTAAGATGTTAGATTGCCAAAAATCCAACAACATAAATATTTTATTATTTTCTATTTCTATAAATATCATAATTGTATTATATGTAACTTTTTATTTAATCGAAGCCGTTAGATCAAATATCTTATGATATAAGTTCCTTTCCTTTTCTGACTATCGTAAAATCCAATGGTGTAGGTTCTTTTCTTTTTTTCCCCCAATAGCCTCGTGATTTTAGACCCTCTTAGTGAATGTGAAGGATCATTTTAACACTGTTGTATTGATATATGATTAGTTTACACTATCATAGTCTTCTTACTAGAGTAAATTTTTATTCCTTGTTCAATTCATAGGATTATTAAAATAATACTTTTGCTCAGGAAAATTGTTATGCCCATTGCCCAACAATAAACCTATACATGTATCTAAAAGGAATGAGAGAAATATAATGTGATACTTTGTTAAACAAATCATATTTATGTAACATGATGACGTGCTTGATTTCACACACAAGAAAAAGGTCATGCTTTTGGTTAAGGGTGTAAGCATTTATATATTATCTTAGTACGGAGTATTTGTCAAACAAAAGACTATGATTAACTGAACCTGATGAAATCGTATAAATTCTTAACAAAATATTGTTAATTCTTAAGTTTTATTAAACTTGACTCCATCTCATTGATTGCTAGATTTACCCTTACCTATAATGATTAGAGTTTTAAATGACGAGCTATAGAATTTAGCGTAGTCTTCTCCACCTGCTGATAGCATTGTTATATCCCGCTATTTTTATTGTAGCCGTTGTAACAGCTCTTTGACACTATAGCGTTGCTATAGCCTATAGTCCGCTGTTTAAAACACTCATGTTATAATGAATGGTAGGGATTAAGCCCTGAAAAGAAAAATATCAGTACACTCAAAGAAATGAGCTTGCTTTTTCTTATATAAAAAAGAGTGCAATCAGCTTCCAACTGCTTACCAAGAATGTGACCCGATGATCTTTTACCCTGTTTTCATAACTTGCGAACTGGTACAACCTCAACGGTCACTGCGGTCTCAGCACTCAGGCCCCGTTCGCTTGTCTAAAAAAATAAGCAAAAATACTGTAGCGACTGGTTGTGTAAGAGGAAAAATACTGTAGCGACTAAAAAATACACTCTAGCAATATAAGGAGAAGCAGTCGGGCTGATCTGAAATTTTCAGACCAGCCGAACGCCGTCTTAGTGTCAGCACTTCAGCAGCCTGCCATAAACCCCCAACACCAGCCGGGCCCACGTCCCGATGGCGGGGCCCAGATGTCATGCGCTGTACGGGCGAGCAACTCGCCCCACGTCGTACCCAAATGCAAAAACCCAACGCGTCCCAACAACTCACACAATCACACACTGCCCCAACGGCCCAACCTCTCCCCACCTCCCCTCCACTTTGTCAGTTTCCCGTCGTCGCCGCCATCGCCGCCGCCTTTCCTCCTCCTCCTAGTCCCTCAGCCGCCTCCGTTGGGAGCTCCCCGTACCATACCCGCAACCATTGGAATTTCAGCTCCATGCGTGGATCCTCGTAGATCCCCACCCGCGTGCACCCGAATCCCGAGGCGGCGGCGGCCTCCGGCGCGAGGCTAGCAGATGGCGGCACCCATGGCGTCCGTGGCGGAGCTCAAGGAGAAGCACGCCGCCGCGACGGCGTCGGTCAACTCCCTGCGCGAGCGCCTCCGCCAGCGCCGGGAGACGCTCCTCGACACCGACGGTGAGGCCTCTCTCTCCTCCCCGCTCCTCGTCGGGGACCCTCTCTCGTGGGGTTCGGGGAATTCGCGGGCATTTGCTGATTGCTCTGTGTGCGTGCGACTGCGCGGTGCAGTGGCGAGGTACTCCAAGTCGCAGGGGAGGGCGCCGGTGAGCTTCAACCCGACGGATCTGGTCTGCTGCCGCACGCTGCAGGGCCATAGCGGAAAGGTTGTTGACTTTGGTCTCTCACCTCCATTTCGGCGCAACTTTTGCGACTTTTCCCTTAGTTTCTGTTTCCTTGTGTGCAATTGAGGGTGTGAGATGGGTGGGATTTCTTTTTCGCTTTTGCGATTGCGGAATTTGGAACTTGGAGTCGGTAGTGCTAGCAATTCCTACCTGCGATGTTGTTCGTCGTGAGTAATAAGTAATAACTGGTCAATAGGATCGCCTCCAGCTTCCAGGGTGCGTGCTTGTTGACCTGGATGGCGTTTTGTGCGTCCTGGACTCCTTGTGGTGTACTTGCCTTCAGCCTCAACTTCCTTGTATAATTTTCAAAGATTTCGCCTAATTTACCAGGGTTTAGCACCATTCAAGTTGCTCTAGACACAGTTTTGTTGATTACAGCGAAGTTGGCTAGTGGTCTGGGAATTGTAGGTTGGATGCACTTTCTAAGGTTGTTGGTTCAAAGTTTGAAGGCCCTCGTGCATTTAAGAGCAATTCTAAGAGTTCATCTAAAATTAATAGCCAAATTCTATGGTTTAGCCATTGTGTAAAATACAAAACTCCTCAAAATAGAAGAGGTCTACAACAGCCTAGGTATTTTTCATCTTCTATATTAAAAAAAGTTGGCCACATCACGTAACTGCCATCAATTTTCACCTGCTGGATTATTCCTGGCGCTTGAAATAGGATAGGATCACGTGTTTGTCAACCAA